AATTTCTGGGTGAACAAATTACAGGACCAAAAAATACCACACAATACCACCCTGGTACGGGGTGGTATTGTGTGGTATACAATGTTAAAAGTCGTAAATGGCAATTAATATACTTCTATTATCAGGTATTCAACCATCCTACAGTCTTGGTTTGTTCATACCACCATGGTACGTTTTTCAAACCATAGGTATGCTTTTATTTCAATACCAGTCAATACCATATGGTATAGACTGGTAAAAAATGGCTCAATTTTTTTTGTTCGAAAAATATATTAAAGTGGATATCATTTTGAGGAGCACAATTAATCTAATCTAACTGTGCAAAAAAATTAAATTTCGACTTAAAATGAGTGAGAAATCGTCCGTCAAAGATTAAAGAGGGGAAAATTAAAGGCTTTCCAGGAGAGAGAGGATGTTGATGTCATGCTGATGTGGACGGGTTACTCATGATTACTCACCATAAGGTTACTGACCTGATCCATTCCCGCTTGGAACCAGTTCCAATTGTTTTTTTGACAAATTATCTCAAATCGTATTATTCCAGCACCTCCTACCTGATAAAAACCCGCATTTCTAGTTTTGTTATGACAAAATACACCAGTATAGTTTAAACTTTGACGGTTTTCCCAAATATAGCCACATTTGGTGAAATACCAAAAATAGTCACTTTCGTCCAATTTTTTGACGGTGCGAGTTAACGTGTTGACTGGACTAACGGATAGTCTGAAGTGGCGATTTTCGTTCGGTAAGTATTTTCCACGTGGATTTAATTAAAAATAAAATATAACAAAAGGTTTGGAAAAGGGTTAGTGGAACAGATCATACTTCTCTTCTCTCTTACTTTTTATTTTTCTCTTCCGCCCTACGAGTTTCCCCTTCGAACCTTACTCTGCTGACGATGATGAAAAACGCTCCCCTTCTTCAGATCGGCGGTGGTTGTCACCGACGACAAACACACCCTTTCCGATCGACAATCCAACAACGACAAACAAAACCCCTTCCCACCCACACCAGATTTTCTCCCTACCATCCCACACCCACACCCCAACCTTCATCCTCCGACTCGGAGACAATGCATCCTGCCGGTTAATAGAGCCTCGGCAAGCACATTCTGGAGACGCAATTGATTTCTGGTGAGCTCGAATCGACCATTGAGACCAAAGATTCCCGAGTTGACTTTGACGTAAAAACCCTAATCCTCAAGAAGCTGGTTGGTAATCTCGGGGGTCGATTTTCTGGGCTTCCTTCCTTTCATTCGACCAGTAAGTAATCTACAAAACTTGTCGCAAATGTTCGATTGTGGGTGCATTGTTGTAAAGTTTGGTTGTTTCCTTCGTTTTATAGATCATAGCGGGCATTACAGGAAGGAAAGCGACAAAACAAAGGCATCACGGGATCACATGTTGTCTTCTTTCTAGAGTTTGCCCTTGAAATTGAAGGTGAGTAGCTCAATATTTTGGGTACAATCGTCATTGGCTTGGGAAAACCCTAGGATATAATAATGTTTGTTAGGTGGTTCTGCCTTTGTTGTTTAGTGATTTAAAAATTAATTAACTTAGGTTAGTGACTACATATGTGATTAGAAAACTAATTAATTTGAGGGTTACTAACCAAAGTGTATGTGTGCCTATACAGATGGTGAGTTCATGGGAAGAGAAGGATCCAAATCACCAAGCCAATACGGGTGACTACTTATCAGCAAATTAAGGTGAAGCTGTTGCTTATGTAGCTCGACAAATTCTCCATGTTTATGACTCCGATGATGCGGATACCTCCAACGATGAATACCATGAAGCAAGGAACAACCTTGGAGCCTACGGTGAAATGAGAAAAAGGACGGAGAAGATAAGGACTGATGGTCATGGGGAGTAGGTGGAACAGTTAGATGAGTTTGACGAGGTGGATTCTGAAGAGGAGGAATCTAAAAAGGAGGTAGAAGAAGGAGGGTTAGATAACGATAATATTAACGAAGTAGAGGTGGAAGCTTCTCAAACTCAGCAAGCACATCCAACTGAGCAAGCACGTATGGAGACTTCAAACCATTCGAGCTATAGACTGTTTGAGGAGTCTGACCATGTGTGAGGCAACTTATCCAATGAGGCTTGTAGTGATATATTCGATACCGCACCACACTACGATTCTAGGTGTGACCACAAGAAGTTCCAGTTCGTCCCTCGTATGAAGTTCAACGATCCTGATCAGTTTAAGCGTGTGGTGGTGAAGCATTCCCTAACAGCTGGGCATGTTTGAGGTGGGTTAGGAGTAACCCTTCGAGGAGGGAATTTAACTGTAAGAACAAGAACTGCAAATGGCGAGGTTATGCGAGCTAATTTAGGAAGAAGAAATCTTTCATGGTTAGGAAGGTGGGGCTGCCACACTCTTGTTCGAGGCAACTCAGGGTTAATCAAGTGTTGCCAAGTGGATTGCCAAAGACATGCTGAAAAGGTTCAAGATCAATCCTGAATGGGCACCAGATCATATCATGGTCGAGGTGAAGGTTGCAGCCATTAAACTTCTGAGTGAATCTTTGAATGATGATAAAAAAGAGTACGGTCATACTTGGGTGAGCTAAAGAAACGGGACCGAAGTGGGAGCTTTGTTTTAGAATTTGAACCACATCCTATACAAGATAAAGTCTTCTTCCAGAGGATGTTTATTGGGTTCTCAAACATACGAGATGGTTTTCTCTTAGCTTCTCGCCCAATGTTCGGACTAGACGGTTGTTTCTTGAAGGGGGAGGTTCAGGGTATGCTACTTACATCGGTTGAGAAGAATGGCAAGAACACAAATGACAAATGGGCTATCAAACTCTAGTTTACCTTCCAATACGGACAACCGTAGAATTTCCTGTCTGAGTTTGACTCAATACCGACTATGTTAGTCACACAAGGAGCATTGTGGTAGCAACAAACTACCCCAAAACTGTTTTCACTTCTCGAAGATGAATCGCCCCATTAAGACATGACGAAGCTTCTCAAAGAGTTCAATCGGGAAAGAGGAGAGACAGTGACGACACAAGTGGGGGATGACTCAGAGTTGCGGCGATGGTGGATGGCGCGGAAAAGCGGAGGTGGGTGTCGCATGGAACAACGGAGATGAAGGATGTTGGGGAAGGAGGAGGCAGAAATGGGTTCCTCGACGGGTGCGGCTGGGTTGCTTTAATCAACAGTCGCAGTTCAAAGGAGGAGGCGGAGATGGTTTACGAAACCCTAAATACAATGGGGGAAATGAAAGAAGAAGAAGGGAGAATGAAGCTCGGGTGCCCGATTTAGGTAGGTTTAAATTTTTTTTAATGACTAGTCATTCCACCTGTCATTGAAGTCTGATGTTGAAACGAAAGATAGGGTGAGTTGGCAGCTAGGTAAGCATTCCATTAATTTCACTAATGGTGTCATTAATGTCGTTAAAGTATGTAATGGAAATGGCTATATTTGTTATAAAACGTTCAAAATTCTGTCTATATCTGGTATTTCGCCAAAAGTGGCTATTATTGTCACAAACGTCAAAGTTTTTCCTACACAGCTGAGTTTTGCCAATTATTATTAGGACTGTTTGTTGGTTTATAGTTATTTACAAACTATTTGGGATTTATGATGGGTCATATGTGGGGATTAATTATTTGGGTAGCATTAGAGAACTATCCAGTTATATGAATATTCTTGTAAGTGGAATTTATCCACTAAGCCAGATTAAACCTAAAATTGAGTATCCCTAATCCCTTCTTTCTCCTCTCTCTGCCGAACCCACTTCTCCCTTCTCCAAGCTGCTATCGCATCATCTCTTCCCTCCCTCTCCTGATTATTTTCCCAAATTCACTTCCCAATTCCCTTGCTATTCACAAAAGTAGGCCAATCCTTGAGTGAATACCCATTCTTTTCAATCCCTAACAATAATCAGAAAACCTGAATTCCAGGTTTACATCAATTGGTATTAAAGCCCTATTCAAGAGTTGAGTCTGTCACGACTCTACACTAGGAACACAAGTGAGGCAGTGACGATCAATGGTGGTTGCCAAGTTATAGACTGCAATTGAAAAGCCGCTGAGAAGGCTGCTCAGGAAAGGGCTACCGCGGCGGCGCGACAGGAGGACGAGGGCGAGGCTTTGGTGACGACGATCGTTCCGCCATCGCCGACAATGACAAAGAGCTCGTCATCGCAGGCTGGCAAGGCGGTGGATAAGGTGACGGTGGATGATGTGACTGAGATTGATGAACTCAGGGTTGCCATGAAGGAGCTGATGGCCGAGCGGGTGCACGTCGAGAGAAAGCGCCAAGAAGACATGGAGGAAATTTGACGAGCACTAGCCAAGCTGAAAAATGATTTTGAGGTGACCCAAGGAACACAGTAGAGGATCGAGGCCGTGATGGGTCTCGAGACCGAGGCAGGGGCAAAGGATGCGTCGGGGGCGGTCTCTGAAGGGGCAGTAACGCTGGAGCTGGTCACCACAATGACAGAGAGGCAGCAGGGATGAGATTGGCTGCCGACCTAGAGCAGGAAGCCTCAGGACGTGCGGTTTACACTCTGTCTAGGCATAGGAATGGGTCCGAGTAGCTACCAACACCAACGACCCAAGAAATTGCGGCTTGGCGTGGCAAGGCCAAAATGCGGGGCTACGACAATGTGAGCTGGAGTCTGGGTTTTGGGCCGCTGGACCTGATGGCTCAAGAAAAAGTGGACAGGCGTGCAAAGGAGCCCAATGGATTAGGGTGGTTTGGTTTGGACCAAGCCCAAGAAGTGGATGAGTTAAGCTTGGTGGGCCGACAAAGAAACTAGGCCGAACCAAATATTGACCTAATGGGACTGGGTCAACAAAGGGCAGCAGGTCGGGTACCTGGGTTTGGGTCCAACCAAACCGGTTAGACCATTTCCCGGTCGATCCAGAGTCAAACCAAACCGTGACTTCCAGCAACAGGTCGGAGGGGATGACAAGAGCAACTCGAGCTAGCAGGGACCCTTCGGCGAGCCAGGGAGTTCCCAACTTCCTTTCGGGAATCCTAGAGCCGCAGGGTGTCATCCGAATCAAAGGATGGAGATGGGCTAGGACCTCAAAACCGGAGGAAGCTGAGTTTTGCTCACGATGACAGATATGGTGGATATGGTCGGTTTAATGATGTGGAAGATGATTTAGTTTTGAGAACTAAACCTCCAACCATTGATTTTCCAAAATTCAATGGGCAAGAGGATGCAGGGTTGTGATTGTATGCATCTAACAGATGGTTCAAGAACCACCCAGCTCGAGAGGAAATGAAGGCGCATTTGGCGCTTATGGGAATGGCTGGAGAGATCTTACGCTGTCGCTGAGACACTGATCACGTGGCCAATGTTCCAGGGGGAACTTTGGTATCTGTTTGGAAAATCAGAAGGATGGGCACCTGAGCAGCTGGCCAAGCTGAGACAGATGGGAACCGTGGCAGAGTACATGTTGGAGTTTCTTAAACTGGGAAATCAGTGCAAGGGGGTGTCGGAAGAAAAACTGGTAGGGTTGTGCCTGGCTGGCTTTAAGCCAGAGATCGCAGCTGCGATCAGGGTGTTTGAGCCAGATTCTTTCAAGACTGCTTTCCATCTTGCTGGTCATAAGAAGGAGGAACTCGCCAACTAGAGAAACACAATCGGTCGTTATCAGAGGCTGAATGGAGGAGGGGGCAGTAGCTCGACGAGCGATGGAGGCTGGAGTGCGGCGGCAAGGGAAACCAAAGGAGCCGTAGGGACAAATACTTTGACGGCCGTGGTGGTCAGAACCGGACCCCAAGCTCCCCCAATGGGCTTCATTAGGATGTCTCCTGCAGAGTTTGAGCAGAAGCGACGAGAGGGCAAGTGTTTCACTGCGACGAGCGGTTCACAATCGATCACTAGTGCACGAAGCCGGATCTGATGATGCTTATGGGTCGTTGAGAGGACGAAGCAGAGGAGGAGGCGCAGTGATGGCAATGGGGCGGGGCGGGTACCTTAATACCCATGCCGCACCCCACACTACTACGAGGCGAGGCGGGTCAACCCACTCTTACATGTTATTTGAAAATAATATACGCAAAATTTTACTATTTACCACAAAACGAAGGGAAAAACTTTATGAATGAAAAATACTTATAATAAAATTGATAATTGAGTCTAACGTATTGAAAGATCAAATCTAACTAGTTGAAAAAAGCTAAAATAGGAGAAATATGAATAGATACTATAAGAAATTGCGGATGGGTCAAGAACGAGGTGGGGCGGGGCGGGTTGGAAATAGATAGCCATGCCCTGCCCACGCTATTGTGGGTCGGGTAATACTTGCCCCATCGCGGGTCTGGTTAGGTAATACCCAGCGGGGCAGATTCAAATTGCCATCCCTAAGGAGGCAACAGACGATAAGGAGGAGAACTAGTGAGTGGGAGTTAACTTTGTGGACAAGGTTGTTCTCAAGGAGGCGGGGATGATAGAAACCCGCATTTTTGTAGTTTTATTATTCGGATTGTTTGTCAGTTTATTGTTCTTTACAAACTATTTGAGATTTATCATGGGTCATTTGTGGGATATTTATCCACAAAACAAGATTAACCCTAAAATTGAGCATCCCTAATCCCTTCTTTCTTCTCTCTCTCTACTGTACCCACTTCTCCCTTCTCCAAGTTGTTTCCGCAACATCTATTCCCTCTCTCTCCTAATTCTTTCCCAAATTCACTTCCCAATTCCCTTCTTATTCACGAAAGGAGGCCAATCTTTGACTGAATAGTCATTCTTTCTAATCCCTAGTAATACTCAGGAAACTTGAATTCCAGGTTTCTATCACCATCATAATTGACAATGATTGATAATGGAACTGACAAAACAAACGTATCTTGAAGTGAAATGGTTGAATTTGTGTAAGAATAAACTAAAACCTATTCCGGATGGAATAGTGTAGAAATAGGCGAGCTTTGAAAAGTCAATATGATGCATCCTAGTAAAATGGTACAATATGGATCTAAAGTGAACAATATTTTTGGCTGATAAAGGTTAAGAAACTACAAATGGAGTAAAACCTTTTTGTTTCTCTTTTTGAATGATGGTAGGGCAAACTTTAACAAGGATGTTGAGTCCCAAAAAAATGATGTACTTCAGACCTTAGAAAAATGTCATGACATTAAAACATGAGATATGCATATTTTATAACGAGTAGTTCAACTTTAATCTCCGTAAAATAGAGAAGCTATTGTAAGAATTCTGAAATCAAACGTGTTTATTGTGTAGTAGTGCACGAATAGGTAACCTCTTGGAAGTTTCCACGATGTATCCTTAAAGAAAAATCGTACTAGACTACTCAAAGTGTACAAGTCCGAAAAGTGGGATGTTACATATGTTAGAGTCTCTCTACGTCCTTTTTGAAAGATGGTGGAGCAAATATCGATGAGGATGTTGAGTACCAAATGGTGAACTGAAATGTAACACTTTTGACAAATACCACAATGACAAAGAACATGAGATATCCATTATTCATAGGGAAGAATCCAATCTTAACTGACACGAATGTTTAGAAGGTGAAATTCTTAGGAAGTTAACACGATGCATCCTAAATGCAAAATTGAGTAGGAAGATGCCCGAAACGTACCATATCGTTCTCAATAAAAGGGTTAGGATGTTACATTATTATTTTTGTTTTTGGTGAGATAGGATGTTACATTATTGATGCATGTAATGGGGAAAAATACGACCGTGTGATATCTAATACTTGATTTACCGGTTATAAATTAAATATGTTTATTTCTTATTAGTTTAACTGTTAATTAATAAAAAACTAGTGGTCCGGTTTTTTATTTAGTGATCTACCACTAATAAATTATTTGATAAATGATGAATACTCAACTTTAATACCTTAGTTTTATGAACTTTACACATAAAAGTTACTTTGATCCGGGTCATTAATTGACCATCAACTTTCAATATTAATAGTTTTTATAGTTGGTCAATCTATCATGTCATCTAGAGAAATAATAAAGAAAATAATTTACATGAAATTAGTAATAAAGTTATCACATAGTCCATTTCATAGTTGTTTGAAATAAACAACAAAATATTTTTTCTTAAAAGAAAATCTATTTATCAAAATCTACCTTTCTCTTTGCGACCATATCTCATTCCACTTTGACATCCTTTGTCATCTAAAACTCATATAAGCTAGGATACTTTTTAAATTTTAATGTGTTATTTATATAATGTTAATATTTTTTAATTATATTTATATTGAGAAGCACGAAAAGATGAAGAAAGATCCACCTAGTTGATTGGGTAACTCTCTGTCGGCCGAAGGAAGAAGGAGAACTGAGTTTTAGGGACTCATATAGAATCAATGCAGCGTAAATGATGAAGGTGACATGGAAGCTCCTCAACGAAACAAACGACCTCTATGCTAGGGTGATATGCTCAAAGTACTTAAAGCAGACTTCAGAGGGTCTTGAATCACATACTCTAGGTTGCATCTCTAATTTGTGGCGTGGAGTGTTGTGCGTTTGGCACATTCTTGAATACAGAACAACTTGCAACATAAATAATGGGAGAACGACACGACTCTAGAGTAATTGTTGGCTTAACGATGACAAGCCACTGAAAGCGTTCATTCCAGCCATCCTCCACGAATTCCTTCTGGTGTCGGAGTTTGTATTGAATGGTAGGTGGAACTTTGAATTTTTGATGGCTTACTTACTTGCACATGTTATTTCATAGGTGGAGCTTCATCCTTTCACATTGTTGCACGAGGAGGATGTGCGCATTTGGAGATTGACAGCCAACCGGCAATTCTCTATCAAGGCGATGTACGACCTCACAGATGATTTCGGAGACTTCTCGATCTACATCCTATCCTATCGGGGGGGAGGGTCTATTTGGAGGGTCACTGTCAGGTAGAGAGTTCGGACTTTTCTCTGGATAGTCACTCACGAGCGCCTCCTCACCAAAGCCAAAAGGAAACAGAGACATCTGACGAAGAAAAACTACTACAAGATCTAGGGAGGAGTTATGATGATTGCTATGAATTAGTAATCACCATGGTTACTAAGAACAAATTTGGTATAGAAGTAATATTTATTAATTTCCTTTTCTAATAAATTATATTTTAGGAAAGCACATAAATATATTAACTACAATTTTTTCTCTCTTTCTCACTTCCACAATCTTCCGTCAGATTTCTCTTCCTTCTTTTTCTCAATCTTTTCCTTGATTTTGTTCAGCCAAACTAATTCCATTGCAACAAAATAACAATAAATCAATACCAATTCATTAAAAAACACTACCATTGCACCAATACCATTCGAGAAATAAAAATACTACCATTTCACAAAACACCAATACCATTGCAGATTTAATCAATACCAATACATGCTAATCAATACCATTACATAATAATCAATACCAATGTGAATAAAATACTACCACTACAAAAAAATCACTACCAAACTATACCAAAATCAACTAATACCACTACTATTGTGAAATCAAAACAATACCATTACAGTAATAAATCAGTACAATTATGAAAAATTAAACTATACCATTTCATAAAACAAAACGATAACAAGTGAAAAAAAAACCATATCTATGTTTCTTATGTTCTCTCTAGAGGGGTCTACGATTGTAGAGATTGAGGGAGAGAGAGACCTTCAGAGCTTCGTGATTGGGTGAAGAAAAGGGAAGCGGGAAGTCTCTCATGGAATAGAGCTGGAAAGTGTTCTCTGTCCATTCCATCAGGCAGAGGACCGCCCGGAAGGGGATTATGGAGAGGAAAATGTTAGGGTGGCCGGCCGGAGGGATGTAGATGGAGATGGATTTGGCATTGCGGGCGGTGGTGGTTGTGGAGGAGGTTGGAAGGAGGGGAAAGTTGTCACAGAGGTGTTGACGGTGGTAGATAATGAGGTTGGAGTAGGGTTTGGAGAGAATATATGGAAACCTATCACTGGTGCAGAGCTTACCCAAATTGTGCAGGGTTTGAAACTCATTTTGGAATTGGGAGCTAGGAAGGTCCTTCTCCAAACAGATTCAACAGTGGCGAAACATCTCATCGAGACGCCCACCCATCATCACCCACATTATGCTTGCATCGCCTAGATCAGGCACTGTTTAGCTCGTCCTTGGACTGTAAGGATCGAGCATTCTCGATAAGGGAGTCTTGTTGCAAATTATTTTGCTAGGTTGGCATTCACTTCCAACAGGGTTTCATATCTTTGATTTAGCTCGATTTTAGTTGCTTATTGGTTGTACTTTGATAGTATTGTCATATTGGGGTTCAAACCCAACATTTGATTAATATAAAAAGGACGACATGCCCTTGAGCTTTTCATTTTCGCACAAAAAAAGAACAAATGATTACCTCTCTTCTTAAAAATTACTCAGGAGTCAAAATGTTTCAAATGTACGACTGAGGTGACTTCTTTTTAAGATTTTTATATGAAACTATTATCTCTCTTCTTAAATTCATTTACTAGTTATAAAAAAATATTCATTTACTGTGTATAATTTCTCCTCTTCTTTTTAATTATGGTGAACTTTTCATTTTCTTCTCCATGTTTCTTCTCCATAGGTGAAGAATGTTAGCAAATAATGTGAATCTTTTATTTATGTTGTTCGAAGAAGTGCGACAAACAAACTTGGAGAAGAAATATGGAGAGAAAAGAATATGGAAGTTTCACCAAAAGTGAAAAATTAAAATGTTATTAGACACAAAGAAACAACCAAACAAAAAATATAAATTTTTTCAACATAAACATCTCCTAATGAGTTACCGCATATTAATCCCAAAATCTCTCTAACCTGTTAACATGAATTGACACATGTAGGACATTTATTGGTGGGATTCAACAAATCCACAACATGGCATATATAGTCCAACTGGTGCATTAAAACCTCTCTACGTTACTTGGAAATCCCCGGCGGAAACTAATCAAACGTTTTCACCGCACAAGTAGTTATTGGTCTTTAACTCCAAACCCCCAACATGCAAAGCCGCCCCCAGACTTTCATAAATCAAGCCCTAGTTTAATTAATTTCCAAAATCTTAACAATCTTAATTTTGCCTGAACAAGAACAATCATGATGCCTGCAGCTGCAATTCGATGTTACCGCAGTCTCATCCATACGCTTCAGATCCCTCCTTCTCCATCCTTCCAGGTTGGATTATTTGCCCATTTCCCCTGCTTTCATTTTCCCCTTTCTTTCAAGGTTAGTGATTATTGTTACGTTTGCTTGTAGCTCGTCGGGGCTTATCGACGTTACACTTCTCGGTCTACTCATGAAGCCTCAGACCCTGAACCGTCGTCGACTGAAAGGTAACATTGTGTCTTCGAATTTTAGATTTAGAACTGAATTGCTTAACGCGCCAATATTGTACATATGGTTGCAGTTTGGAGGAGCACGATGATGATCCTATTGATTGGGACAATTTGGGGTTCAGTCTGATCCCGACTGATTATATGTACGTGATGAAGTGTAGCCGAGATGGTAGTTTTGAGGAGGGAGAAGTGAACCCATATGGTAATATCCAACTCAGCCCTTCTGCGGGCGTCTTGAACTATGGACAGGCAAGTCGTAACCAGTTTATACATGCTATAATAGTGCGCACGATATGAAGTGTTTTCACTGTGTTGTGCCAACTCCTTTGGATGAATGAATTCCTTCAGGGATTATTTGAAGGCTTGAAGTCGTATAGAAAAGAAGACGGCGGGGTGCTCCTGTTCCGCCCAGAGCTGAATGCAAAGAGAATGATGATGGGAGCAGAAAGAATGTGCATGCCTTGCCCTTCCCTTCACCAGTTCGTTGAAGCCGTGAAACAAACTGCCCTCGCCAACAAACGCTGGGTACCTCATTCAATTACCATCATCATCTTCTTCCCTAATCATAACACTTACTTAATGATGGAATTATGGTTTTGAATTTGGGCTCAGGTGCCGCCTCATGGTAAAGGGACACTGTACATGAGGCCAATGCTCCTGGGAACTGGTGCGGTTCTAGGTCTTGCTCCGGCCCCCGAGTACACGTTCCTCGTTTACGCTTCCCCTGTCAGCGACGACTACTTCAAGGTTTTTATGCATGTCGTAAAATTTTGGATGGATCAAGCTGAGGCTCACTCATTCAAATGATAACCCATTTCTATTTGTCTTACTGCAGGGCAGTGGAGGGTTGAACTTGTACGTGGAGGAAGAGTATGATCGCTCTGCTCGCTTGGGGACTGGAGGAGTTAAATCAATCTGCAATTACGCCCCTGTATATTGACATTTTTTAGTGTGTTCCTCTTTATTTCCCCCCTCTATGGCCGGATCGTTGTTTTAATGACAAGGATTTTGATGCCAGGCTTTGAAAGCTATGGGCAGGGCAAAAAGCAGGGGATTTTCGGATGTCCTGTATCTCGACTCTGTGGAGAAGAAGAATCTGGAAGAAGCATCTGCATGCAATGTTTTCGTTGTCAAGGCACATTAATTGTTTGATTACTACGTACGTTCCCATAAATAGATTCTTCTCCGAATCCATGAAAATGAAAGTGTTGAATTTGCAGGGGAATGTTATTTCAACACCTGCTGCCAGGGGAACCATTCTACCCGGTGTCACTCGGAAATCCATCATTGAAATTGCCCGTGACCACGGCTACCAGGTAGGAAGTTTCTCCATCTATATTTTTACCCATTCTTTTTTTTGACAAATATATTTTTACCCATTCAAACCAAACTCCTACGCCTACTTTCCTCTCTCTCTCTCTCTCTCTCTCTCTCTCTCTCTCTCTGGAACTGAATTTGGATGCTCTGTTTCAGGTTGAAGAAGGTGTTGTTCCAGTGGATCAACTTCTGGACGCGGATGAAGTTTTCTGTACTGGCACTGCCGTTGTTGTCGCGCCTGTGGACACCATCACATATCGAGATCAAAGGTAACTTTGTGCTTTTCTCCTCTTTCGGACTTTCACTTCCTGTATATTGATTAACCATCTCTGATTCCGTGGAAAATGCAGGGTACAATACAAAACAGGGGTTGGATCGGTGACGTCGGAATTGTATTCCACTCTAGTGGGGATTCAAAGAGGCGTTGTTGAGGACAAGAAAGGCTGGACCGTCGAGATTAGTTGATATTTTCCCCCTCTGTCTAACTTGTTCTTTCTTAGTTAGTCCATGATTGTGTATGTATATTGCTTGTATCTTTCGGTCGGTGGGTGTTGGGAAACTTGTAGCATTTACATCGGAATGTAAGTTACCATTACTAAAACGTTTGGCTTAATCAATGCGAACTAACGACTCAGATTGATTGTTGCTCCCAATATGATACTAGCACAGGACCCGGTACGTTGGCCGGGAGAATTTTGTAAAAAAATATGATATATAATAATGGATATAATAGATGATTTACAATACATGGAATGATTGTTTGTATCTTAGTTATGCAAATAATATTTTTGAAAGTGATCCAACTATGCATAATGTGTTTAGACCTCTATGAAAAGAGAAAAAACTATAGTATAAGCTTTACATGTAATTACTAAATGAAAAAAGAAATAAATAAACTAATTGTCATTCGTTGTTTAATTAAGTCATATAGTTTAATATTAGAGTTAATTTTCATATTTCATACACACATAATCAACATTTAGGATGAAGGAAATATATCTCGTAGAGTTTAGTATGTCCTTTAAGTTCTTTTCCAATAGAGAGCATTCTTTTTTACCACACAGTTGGTAATGAATCTGAAGTTTCCTGATTAGAAATATATAAAGCATGATGTTAAGTTTTCGCTAATAGTTAATTGAACAATGTATTGTGTACAGACTTCCCAAATTTCACTGTAGCAAATATTTTTTTCATGAAGTAATTCAATAAATAAAAAACCTATGAAAATCATATTATATGAAATATATGTTACTCATTAAGTTGATGAATGAAGGAGGTTAAGAGTAGCATACACTTATTTTGAAAAGATATAAGTTGCAAAGTGTCATTTGGGTTGAATGAGATCGCATATTCTCGTTATCGCTAACTCACTTATGCTATTTTGCAATAGATTGTTCAAAATGTGTCTTAAAATTTTTATTTTCACCAGTGTAAAAGAATTATTTGAACCAAATTATTGTAAGGGTAATCGTATAAAAAAGTTGGTAGTAGAGTATTTTATACCGAAGTCATAAATTAATCGTGGTTCAACCGTTTTATATTGCTAAATATCACCTAACAATTTAGCCTATGGTTTGAAGTTTTATGGTCGAACCACCGGTAGGTACGATCTTTCAATTCAAACTTTAAATAAAAAATCACTAAAATGTTGACATTATCAAATACCCCTTAAATCTCATAAATTATAATAATCATATTAAGGAAAAAAATCATCCAAATGATAATATTGATTTAGGATTTATTGAAATGAGAAAAATCTGTCAAATATAATGTCATCCCCTAAAATAAATCAAAAGTCAACAGAAGAGGGCTAACAATACCCTCTGAGCAAAGTAGAAGAGCAATTATTTCACACAACATCATTTCCCCCCTCTTTTAAATGTGTTCTCTTACTCTCTTTCTACCTTCCTCTTTCTGTTTCCATTTGTTCTTCCATCTCTCTCTCTCAATTTTGTATCTCACCACTCCCCCCCCCCTTCCCTTACTCATTCTTTCCACCGCCTAGAATTGAGAGAAATCGAGAAACATCCCAATTACTTCTCGAATTTTGCGTTCAAAATGTTTCTTCTTCATTCACAGTCTATAGTGTGAATCAGAGCACCTGAAACCAGGTGAATATTTGAGCGTTTATTCCTCGACAGAGCAAAGTAGTTTGATAGCTTGTGAATAAACTAATTACTAAAAGTTATAAAAACAACAATCGTTAAACAATTGAGCGAGTGTATAGTTAGTTCATCTCTCAAACAATTTTATTTATCAAAAGAATCAAAATGCATAATCAGGTTCATCTTCACTTATTTACATGTATTTGTCGTACAAATTTATTACACATAAAAAATGATTTTGAACCAACATATCGAACTAAATCTCATCTTATGATTATTGGATCCTATCATGTCAGATTAGAAAGAGGTCTAAAGATATTGGTCAACTATGCAGAAAATTAATAATAATATAAGAATTATATATCTCTTCCAAATGTTCAATACTCCAATTCAATATGCAAAATTCGAACAAATGATATATTTTCAACCCCTTCCACAAACTTTTTAGACCCAAAAAACTCCCCCCCCCCCCTCCCCCCCTAAAACACACACATTTGCAAAGAGATACTAAATCTCAATATCTTCTTCACTTTACTTGCTTCTAAAGTTATTGTTGACTTTATTTTTTATTACTGCAGGCTGTAAAAAGACTTTTCAGCTCTGAAGTTAATCAACAATGAGTTTATAAATGAGTGTTTAGTTGTATAAATTGGAAAAGGTTTGAGTATCAAAATAAACAATTAATGTATCTTATAAACCTTTTAGAATATGAGCCGTCACATGTTGATGTGAAAAACTAATCATTAATTGAAATTTTAAATATTATTTTTAGAATATTTTATTTTATTATTATCAAATGACGCATTTCTCCATAAAACATGAGTTCACCAATATAGACTGTGTGGTGCTCGGACTTGCGCGCGAGCCCTTAAAGTTTAACGTTTAGCAGTTAACCAAGCTAAAAGTTTAGAGAAACATTCACGTGTCCTTTGTACAAAATATTATTGCTTCATAGTAGTTATGAAAATTTATATTAATTTTAAGAATTCTACATGGTTTTTGCATATTCAATACTGCAATTCGATATGCATTGTTTTAAGCAATGAAATTTGGATTGAAATTTTAAGGTTATCCGAAATTGTATAGGTTATAAATCACGAATTAAATTTTGCTTTTTTCAGAAGATTTAATAGGCTAGCTAACCGTGATGGAAAAGTCATCTGCTTTTCAAATATTTACTTAGTGTATGTTTACAATTCAGGTATATCAAATAAATTTCATTAGTGTAATTGGTTATGATTATTGTTTTTGTTTGAAGAGACCATGGTTCAAATCTTGATATTGATACTTTTTAATGAAGTAGATAAATAATTGCGATGACAAACTTACTCTTCCTACTTTCACTCTCAATTGACGAAATTTCAAATGAAAAATCTTAAAAAATTAAATATATCTTATAAAAAGAGCTTGTTTTAGGACTTTGGTACGGTGACATGCACTTTTCGGTCGACCTCATATAGAATTAGGTCGACCTAATCTGTTGTTTCAGTGTAAAAACTGTTTCATGGTGCCTACTTTGGATATTCATATCTTACAATTGGCTAGATGGAAATTGGAGATTAAAGGCTTGTTTTGAAGCCGAAGTGTCTCTCTACACATTAAAGTACTTGGGAGCTCAATAGAAAGTCCAGAAGACCATTTTTGAACCTCATCAAAAGGCTATGTCAAAACTGGGAAACTGCCTGAAAATGGCTAAGTCTGGTAACGTGTTTGTCAAGCCTACTTTGGAGCTCAATTTGAGAAACATGGATGCGAGTCAAGTCCAGAGGCCTCTACCACGTTAAATTACGTATTTTATTATACAAAGGCAAGGAATTGGATGAAAGATTAAATATCTTTAAGACTTCAAACAAAAGGGTCGAAGTTTCTACAAAGGCTGTTTTTCTGGCAGCTTGCTTGTGCTCGAAGTCTGCCAGAAAAACAGCCTTCGTAGCAACTTTGACCCTTTTGTTTGAAGCCTTACAGATATCCAATCTTTCATCCAATGCCTTGAATTTGTATAAAAACATACCTAATTTAATGTGGTAGAGACCCCTGGACTCGACTCGTATTCATGCTTCTCGAATTGAGCTCCAAAATAGGCTTCACAAACACGTTTCCAGACTTAGCCATTTCCAGGCAGTTTCCCAGTTTTGGCATAGCCTTTTGATGAGGTTCAAAAATGGTCTTCTGGACTTCCTATCGAGCTCTCTTCCACTTCAATATGTAGTGGGATACTCCAGCTTCAAAACAAATCATTAGTCTTCAATTTCCATCTAGCCAATTGTATGATATGAATATCCAAAGTAGGCACAATGAATTGTTTTTACACTGAAACAATAGATTAGGTCGACCTGATCCTATATGAGGTCGACCGAATCCTAAATGAGGTCGACCAGATCCTATATGAGGTCGACCGAATTCTAAATGAGGTCAACCTAATCCTAACTGAGGTCGACCGGAAAGTGCAAGTCACCGTGACATGCATGTCACCGTAGGCACACCCCTTGTTTTAATGTATATTATAGAAAGAGCTTCTTTTTTTTTATTCACAGAAAGAGCTTCTTCAACCAAGTAGGAAATGTATTTTACCTTAAATTATTATATCTTATAGAAAGTGATTAATTGTGAAATTGGAACTGAAATAATACTTATTAAAACATTAAATATTAAATTGTACCATATGTATGGTTCAGTTTCGACAAAATACATATGTGTAGCCAAAACATCGACCTTTGTCACAAATATAGTAATTATTTGTGACAATCTACACATAATGTGAAGATAAATTGGGTGCAATGACGAAAAAGAGCTTCTTAGGATCACTCTCATACCATGGAATTTGAGGAAAAAAATCCAAAACTACCACTGTTTAAAAAAAATTACAAGAATACCACCCATTCCCAACAATTTCCAAAAATACCATCGTTTATTAAAAATCGCGCCTCTAATGGGCGGTTAACATAGAAACCGCGCCTCCTGGCAGCGGTTTACATTATAACCGCTTCGCCAACAGGCGTTTTTAAATTCCAGCTAAAACCGCTCCTAGAAGGCGCGGTTATATACTAACCCTACCACAAAACGCTTCAAGAGGAAGCGTTTAAATGTAGGCATGATAAACCGTCCCATCAGGCGGCGGTTTACCATGTCCAGACATAAACCGGTGACCGAGATGTAACGGGAACTTGTGGACGTGATGCGCAACAATGCGTTTTGGATACGGATCGAACTTAAGCTACGAAGGTGCATAAAAAATAGACCATTAATCAACATAATAATATAAGTTAAAAAAAAGTAGGAATAGCGTATTATGATGCTCACCTCTGCTTCCCAAAGGCGATCAAGCCTCCTACGATACTCCTCCAACTTATGCGCTCTTAGGTTGTCGCATGTTTTTTCACCAAGCCACCTATTCAAGCCAAAAAAGTATGGAGTGTTAATATATAAAATACCCAATTAGTAAAAAAAAGGTGAGAACTATGAGTGGGATAGAAAACATTTACCTACAACCATAAGCTTCATGTGGTAGGGGATGGTCGGGACCCCATTCCTTGTCGGGGTCTACCTTCGGCCCAATCCATGGCAAATGCTCCCAAGCCCAAAATTGGACGATAAACATGGCCCCATCAATCTCCTTCATCGCTCTCGCACTAGCATTACAGAGGGATCGGTAGAGATGAGCTAGGCAAGCAGATGCCCAGCTCAGGTTTCCCATATCATCCCAACTCCCAAGTATGATCTTAACCATGAATTGCTGATTAGGTTGTTGGATTTCTTGGGGAAGAAAACTCCTCTGATCATGCCGAGGATGTAGATACGTGCATAAATGTCTTTATCACGCTCTGAACTTTCCTCCATGAGGGGAATGCCTCCGAACTCAGGGTTGTGCTTACGCCTGATCTCCGCTGTCAACCACGTGATGGATACTTGGCCCTTGGACAATGGTGGATGACCATCCGCATCGTGATCTCCCTTTTCTGGCGGACACAACCCGATGACCGTCCATATAAAATGCTGCCAACCACTCATATTGGCAACAACTTTAGGTGGTGGCGTATAGTCCACACAAACAACATCACCATTGATGGGCAAATCGGTTAGGATGGCGATGTCCTTAAGTGTGATGGTGCACTCGCCTTCACGAAAATTGAAGCAGTGTGTCTCCTTTTGCCATCTATCTACCAATGCTGTGATGAGTTGGCGGTCGATCTTGATTCCATTAAAATGCCTAATCGAATCCAATCTTGCCCTTTTTAGAAAGGGCAAGATGACGTCGTTCCATTCAAGCACATTCGTCATGCCCCTATAGCGGACTATATGGTATGCATCCTAGAGAAGAATTTAAATTTCACTATAAGTTGATGATTTATACATATATAAATATATTATAAGATGCAATATTAATTAAATTAAGGTTTTTTTATAGAAATATACATTATCTAATAAACATTAATTTTAACATAACTAAATAATATTATAAGATGCAATATTAATTAAATCAAGGTTGTTTTAGAGAAATATACATTATCTAATAAACATTAATTTTAACATAACTAAAATAATTTTCTAAGATGCAATATTAATTAAATCAAGGTTTTTTTAGAGAAATATACATTATCTAATAAACATTAATTTTAACATAACTAAAATAATTTTCGAAATTTAAGTATAATTTTTTTTTTGTACACATACACATAAAATCAAATATATTATTTTGTTAATCGTATTGATTATTTTCAATAATTTAAAGCAATACAAGTACACTCGTAAGACTCTTAGGAGAGGTATACATCTCCTTAGAAACACGGTCTTTTTGACAGAAAAATGGGGGATCCGAGGATCGCTTGGAACCCGATTTTCCCAGGTCATGGGGGGATCATGATGATCGCTTAAGTCCCCATTTCCTTAGACATGCATTTTTTTTATAAAGAGTCTAAATAAGTGTTGTATTGTATTGATTTAAATTATTGAAAATAATCAATACGATTAACAATTAAGTAAATTATTGTACAAAAAAAATAAATTACTTTAACAAAATACAAATTACAAGTGATGATAAATAATATGTACCTTGTGGTCGTTCCAAATGTCTCTTGAACGATGATTAGCTTGATCGTATAAAATAGTCGGATCAATCGGTCCTTTATCAACATAATATCGTTGATTGTAAATATCAACATCCGGCCCAACATACGATAGCATAACAACAACATAAATCAATTAGTATATAAATTAAATAAATCATTATAACAAGACCAACAATTGGGTAAAATGAGTACGTACCGTTTGATAATCATCATAGAAAATGCTCTCTTCTTGGATGAAATCGGCCATTTTTTCCGAATCCGGACAGAGGTTCGACGGTTTTTTAGTGAAAATCAAAGAAAAAGTTTTTTGAAGGCAGATCGGAGTTAGCCACAACCAACAAAATAACTAATTCTAAGGTTTTTGGGTTGGGGGGGGGGGGTAGAGTGAGGAGTTAGAGGGAGAGAGGGGGAATGGGTTTGGTGTGCAGAAAATGAGAGGGGGAATGGGGGTTATATAGGGACGAATCAGCGTGAGCGAGGGGCGGTTTCGTCCTTTTACCCCGCCTAAAACCGCGACTCAAGGGCGCGTTTAGCTTTCCCCAACAGTCAAACCGCGCTTCGGGGGAGCGGTTTGAGTGAACGATGCGGATCGCTGAGCTGGCGCGCGGTTTGGCTGTCAGATCGCTCCCCCATCGCGCGGTCTGATGCACCGCCACGTGACCACGCGGTTTGATAGCCAGGAACAGTCAAACCGCGCGTTCCACAGGCGGTTTGACCGTTAACTGCGCCTTGGACGCGCGTTTTGGTTTATAACCGCGCCTTCGAGGTGCGTTTTGTGTGGAAGGGTGGGTATTTTTGGAAATTGTTGGGAATGTGTGGTATTTTTTTAATTTTTTTTATAGTAGTAGTTTTGGATTTTTTCCGGAATTTGAAATGAGACTCTCATTTTTCATTTTTATCATTATATTATGTGTATATTTGTCACAAAAAATGAATATACTTGTCACAAAGGTCCATGTATTGGTTACACTTTTATATATTTTGTCTAAACTAAACTACACATACAATTTAATATTAATGTTTGAATGAATGTTACTTGAGTTCCAATTTCAGAAATAATCTCTTTTCATAAAATCTAAATAATTTAAGATAAAATATAAATATAGAAGCATCATCGCCAAACATATTTCTAGATTTTAATCAAAGAAATAACTATAAGACAATGTAGCGTAGTTGGTTAAAATATTCTTTCTTCATTGAATTGACCAATGTTCAAACTCCAACAATAACATTTTTAATATATAAAAAAGAACAGGGTGCAATGACAAAAATGACCTTCCTAGAATCACTCTCAGACCACGAAATTTGAAATGAGACAATTCCAACCCATGTTTTGCCATTATATATCTTGTAGATGATGACTAATTAACTCGATAACCCTGACTACATGGTTCCAAATTAGGCGGTTGGTCTTCCTATCAAGATTCTCGGCATCATGGGGTCCCGAAAATTTTGAAGATCACGTGTAAAAATATCGAGAATTTTGAAAATTCTGAAGAAACTAGATACAATTACCCTTCAGTGCAAAATTGATTATCTCTGCCTTGCTCTAGTGGGAAGTAGCAGTTAGTGTCTTCTTTGTACCCAGGTTCGATCCTATGCAGTAGCATATTTTTGCAGTTTTTCATTTTTTGATTTCGTATGGGTTGGTATTCATCGCCCTAAATATGTTAAATGTGCTCTAATGCCCTTAATTCATTTATATTTTGTTTAGTTTATTAAATATGTTTCAGTTAATGGTTATAGCTGTTAGACCGTATAGGGCTCGCCAATTTACGTATATGTACATACGTAGTGATCCACATAGTTAGCCCATGTCCATGCATGACGTAGACTTTGGCGATTGTATGGACTAGGGTTTCGGCCAAGGTTGTCAAACCGGTTTATGCCAGTGTGCCGATTTAGCAAGTGGAATGGTTCAACCGGTGGCACATACCGGTTTGTGCTGGTTCATGCCGGTCAATATTTCAAATAAAATTATAAATACTTATATTTAAACATGACATTTAACATCAATACCTAAACATTTATATTTGAATCCAACAAATAACATCAATATTTAACTTTTATACTCATAAAATAAATAATAAAATAATTTTTATCAATTAAATTCTCTAAAATAATGTCGTTTTACTTAGAGATTTGTATATCGATCATGTCGGTCATACCGGTGGTGTCACGCCGGTTTTATGACCGGTACCTGTTGAACCCGGTACAACCGGTGGCACGCCGGCCGACGTGACAACCGTGGTTTCGGCTGTATATATTTTCCCCTGTACTTCTCGTTGATGGTTAAGCTGAATAAGAGACTGTCGTTCTCCGTGGACTAGTCAGTATTGCTCTCTACAATACTGGAAACCACGTAACTCTATTGTCTATTTCGTTTTCAACTCACAGGTTTCTAACATGGTTAGGGGTGGTAAACGGTAATCCGGTAAACGGTTTACCGTTTTACCGAACCGTTTACCGGCGGTATCAGCAGCCGAGCGGGAAGTTGGGAGAGTCGGTTTACCGGACACGGTATCGGTAAATACCGACGGTAAATCGGTATTACCGATACCGAATCCCCCCTCCCTACTCCCTAGTGCTACGCTGCGTTTTGTTGCTTTACCCCCAAAAATATAAAATATTACATACATGAATGTAAGTATAGGGCTAAAAAATATTGTAAATAAGAGTTAATAATAAATTATTAATTACAAAAATGATGAAAATAACTCAAAATATTACAACATCACCCCACTTCCAGAAATTCGGTTCGGTAAATATTCGGTAAACCACCCGAAATCGCTTCTCACGGTATTTCGGTAATACCGGTTTGTAACCGTTTACCGGTAATTCGATAATCGGTAAACCGGTTACAAACCGGTATCGGTAATCGGTAACCAGTTTGGCCAACTTCGGTATACCGAAACCGGTAAATTCGGTAAACGGTAAATTGTTTACCGACCGAATCCCACCTCTAAACATGGTATTAGATCTTTCGGCTATGGATTCTCATAAGCTCTCTATACATCTTAATCACAAGTGTATACACCACATTTTGTCCGGGTCAACCTGATTGTCACTTTCAAAATTGTGAAGCTATTCCTCACCAGTCAAAGAAGGGTCTTTCATGTTATACGAGAATACACCCTTCGGTTCAAGTTTTACACAAGATGTTTGCACGCACAAGAGGTTTGAAGGCATGATAAAAGTACAAGGTCGTATTATTGAAGAATTTAAAGGTCGGTACAGTCATCGACACCATTAAAAAAGTTTGTACACTCCTAATCAGTCAACCGAGTTTCCATATACAAAGCTGAGAAGTAAAAGTCCAATACATTTAAAAACCCCACACCAGCAGCCTGCAAAGCAAAGAAGAGGAATCAGCTAATTTAGGCCCAAATATAAAGATGTAAAGCTCATGTAAAGACTCAATTCCAAGAAGCATAAACCATGTCCATGATCTGATCCAAGGTCGGCCCAAAAAGCCCAGGGGAACAAATTCAGATGCTGATTTGGCCCAACTCAGCCCAAAGCAAAGGGCCAATCTTATCCACCCCTGACCAGTCAGAACCGGCCAAGCAAGGTGGACGTCTCTCAATTGGCCTCAAAACTCTACCAATAAGAAAGAAGCACGCTAGTTTCAGCCTCAACAACAACAAATGATCATGTGACACATGGCATATAATTTTGCTATAATAGAGCTCTTTGGGCTCTTTGTTTGGGACGGCTTTTGAGAGGGGGAGGAGAAAAAAAGATAGATCACAATTTAGAGAGTGAAATGATCATCATTTTTTGGGAAGATCGGAGCAAGATCAACTTTGCTTTTAGTTACAAGAGCGTTATGCACTCAAAGAAGAACAAAGATCAGGCTACTTGAATCTACGGTTGGTGATTTGTACCTTGTATCTCTATTTTGATAATAACAAATCTCTTTCTTTGTTCATCTCTGTGTTGCTCTCCTTTTAGTGAATATTGCCTACCTTCATTAATTTATTGTCGCGTTCATCAAACATACAATTTCCAATATATATGGCGGTGCTTTCGATGCACTCACTTTTTTAAGTGCACTGAATGCACCCACTTTTTTTTCCCAATCTTGACCGTTGAAAATATCTAACGTTTCACAATAATTTGTGTAATAATTAATTAACTAATAATAAATACAACAATAATTATTATAAACAGTATTAACTTATTTATAATTGCAATTGAGGCCCTCATTAATATCCGCTAGTGGACGCTGAACCCGTAGCCCGCCACTTCCCTCCTCTTGCACGACCTCTCCATCAAGTTGTGCTGGATAGCATCCTAGTGCCATATATTTTGTTCCAAATGACTCGTGAAACCTCTAAATTGTTAGAGCAGAGCCAACTGAAGGTGTTATTTTCATGAATAGGTCAAACAAATGGATCAAGCTATAGTTTCCTTGTCCTGATCGGGCAAAGCATAGCCAGGGGCAGTGTAATGATAAATTTGCTTTTCGAATTCCTTCCCCAGCAATTGTATTATTTGTATAATAAAGTGGGAAGAAATTACTAACTCCCAACAAATTCAGTACTAGAGAATCGATCGAGGTTAATTAATTAATATGTCTGCTACTGACGACAGAGTCGGAGCGGAAGTCGGCGGCGGCGTGGATATGGAACTACTTGGGTTGGTAAGCCGGTACGAAGCAACCAAACACCCAGAGAGCCGAGATATGATCCTCTCGTCGATTTGCCAACACTCAAGCCTCCACCAACCGCAAGCGCTCATTAATTATCTCGATCCTCCAAGCAGCGATGCCGTTTTGGAATCCGATGACAGCGACGACTAGATGGATGATGTGGAAGAAGAAAAAGAAGGGGAGGAGGAGTTCAGGTATGCAATATTCGATTGGGACAGTGGTTTGTCAAGGGTGGTAGTGCTGACGGCAGAAGAGCTCCGGCGGCGCGGCCGCACAATTCTTCATATGGGAAGAAACTGATAATTGAGGAAATGAAAAATAATTCCCTCCTATTGTTTTATTAATTTCAGGGAGGAATCAATATGTATAATTGGGCCGAAGAATTGATCGTCTCTTTTGTGAGGGAGAAATGGAGAGGTCTCTGTTGGTACGAGGAAGAAGAGGGGTTTGGAAAACAGGGGAGAAGAAACGTGGAAGAAGAGGGTTAACATTAGGAGTTTAATTGCAATTATCAATAGGTTTAAATTATTTTAATAAATAAAATATAGTTAACAATGAATTATTAACAAATCAAATTATTGTAACTGTTAGATGTATTTAACGGTTAAGATTAAACAAAAAAGTGGGTGCGTTCAGTGCACCCAAAAAAGTTGGTGCGCCGAAGTAGCCACCATATATATATATGTACTAGCTTTTTACCCGGCCCGTTGGCCGGAGAGATTTATTTTATAATTTATATTAATTAACTTATTTATATGTTTAAATCATTTTGGATCTTCTAAATTTTTTGTGTTCTTGATTCATAAAAGAGTTTGTAGTAAGTCTATATTGAAAATTTCCAATATTTAGCACACTCACTTCTGATGCTTCGGTTTTCTAATCATAAATTATGTCGCTGTCACGTCCCATTTATAACTTATGTCAAAATTTCTCAACCAAAACACTAATATTTAGCGTACGCCAACCTGAAACACACACACACACACACACACTACAATACGACCATTGAGTTTTACTATTTAGACTTCGGAGTTTTTTGGGGCATGATACGATACCCTAACCTCTAATAGGTGAACTCTAATCCCTAATTCTCTAACCTCTAATTTATGCAAATACTTTGTCATACCTATCTTCTATCGTATCTTAAGTAAAATGCAAAGATAGTATACCTTGATATTTTATATATATATTCATAAGCAAAGAGGTATTTAGCCCCCGAAAGGGGTTGAGATTTTAGGTCCTTTGGAAATCCAATACATATTCATGATCCTCAAGTTTGGACGAACTCTTGACCAATGTTGTAAAGATTAGGACTTTTTAGTGAGACATTCTTAGTAAAGATACTTCATTATTGGATCAATTTATTCATCCATATTGAAACTTGACACACACCGTAGCCCTCGTGATGATTAAATTCTATAATATCGACTCATTTCCATTTTGGATGTTAGTTTTTTTTATCAAGACACTTAAATTTAGTATATTATAAAATATGTATCAATTGTTAATTTTTGAAGTTCAACCCGTGGTCATTGTTTATATGTTGGCTTAGAATCTCAATCTAAGACACTCGCACACATTATCGAGGATTTTAGTCTTAACATGGTCATTGAATGTGTAATTTTCAAAGATTTTATCACTTATATATTAATATTTGATAGAGTATCTACAATACACACATTTTTCAGGTGTATTTAAAATGTCTTATCATTTGAACAATATAGGTGGATTTCATTTGATTATTTCCATTAACTTATTATCTATACAACATATATCAATTCGTGTTTCTCGAGTTTCGACGAACTGGCAACCAATTTTGAGAGTTGAGATTCCTGGATAAAGATACTTGATTGTTGGATAAATATGTTTATCCCAATTGACTATTTTACTAAAAATTGCCAACCTTTATTTGCTAAATGTCTAGGTTAGTAGTTGATGAAACGCGATATTTATCGTAGATTCTCAACAAAGATTCTCTAACATTCCTTATATTTTTTCAAGGAATCTTGTGTCTCATCCTAAGGTATGATGTCAAAGTTCGTCAACAATCATACTTAAGTCATTTGGAAAATTTTTATTTATAATAGTTGACGATAAGTCCAAGTCTAAAAGAAAATTTTCTTAGCATACGACTTAGGACCTCAATTGAGCTTGCTCAATCAATATGATATAGAACAAATATTATTAATGTGAACTTAGGACACATTATAAAATTATTGCACATGCGATTTCTCTTCATTTGAGGAGTTTAAGGTAGAACATGATGTGAGGAATAATAAGTCTTTTTTAAATAAATAACTATAACTACTCGATCAAGATTATACTCTGACATTTTGCTAAATAATACTTATTTTATTTTATAAACATATAATTTACGAATAAGAGAGTTTCATTGCAACAAAATATAAAGTAATATAGTTTATTTTTATAGATAATTGATTGTCAAATGTTTATTTTCTCTCTTTTCAAATAATTTTTTTAATCGAAAAATTTTATTGTTTATGTGTATGTTTGTCTAATTTCCATAAAAATATAACATATCGTTCAATTTTAGTAAAAATGAGTAAAAAATTTACTTCATAAGGTTTAATAAGATATATTTTATTCAAACAAATGTGGTATATGTTACTTTCAGTTTTCTTATTTATATTTTTTTTACTGAACAAAAAAATTATTATTTATGTGTGTTTGGGTTAAGTTTATCAACATGTAACCTACTTTTAAAGCAAAAAAAAAAGGTTAAAAGAAATGGAAATATTAAAGAAGAGAGAGGTAGCTCAATAAATACATTAATAACTAATTTTTTTTGTTTGTAAAAAAGTTGTCCAACTTGGCAAATTGTGAATCCTCCAAGTGCTTATGTGGCAAGAGATTGCTTTTGAATTGCCATAATAGATAGATAGATAGATAGATAAGTACAAGATGCATAGACTCCATACTGTATATATGATTTTGCACTTCGTTTATTTGTTTGCGGAGTATGATCCCTATTTACTTATCGCTATTTAAGAATTTGCACTTCGTTTATAATTTCAATTCCATTACAGTTTTCGACCGAGTTCCTTTCCGATAGGCCATTTATCGTTTAGATTTCGTCATATTAAAGGGCTTTTGTTTTCCTTCGAGTACATAGGTAATAAAAGCTTTACATCCATGCATACAAAAGAAAACTATTGACATACCAAAACACACTTAACCATTCCCTTTTTCCCTAGTTTGGAGTAGGAAATCTGTTTTGGATCCTCGGATCCAAAATACTTGATCTAGATCTAGCTCCAATAAATCACCATACAGGATATATCTTATTTTTATAAACTCTAATAAGCTTTCCAAATTAATAAATCACAAAAATCCCTATCAAACCAATTATAATAAGATGAGGGAAAATTTAGTTCCTTTCAGCATAGTGATAGCAAGCAGTGGCGGCAATCACTAATCAGCTAGTTTTTTTTAAAATTGCCTTTGTTTTTATGAAATTAATTACCGAAATAAGAGCCTAAAAATAAAAATACCGAAAATAATCCATATTTCCCAAAATTTTATACCAGTTAACAAACCATAACCCTACGATAATACCATCTTTCAGTTAATTCAGCCTTTCTTAATTCATGCTAAATAAATTGGGTTTAGGGAACCTCACCGAGCGGGTTTCTCATCTGAACCTGCCATAAAGAAGAATAAAGTTTTGAATTAGATTTAAGTGTTATATTACTAAATAAAAATGACGGATTAATGTTAATTTAGGAGTCAAATATTACCTTCATTTTGAGACAAGGTTGGCGCCACCAGGGTCTCGCCGCCGATCAAAACCAAAACAAAAACAAAAAAATTAGAGTCTCGTTTATTTTTACTAAAAAAAGTTAAATGAAGACTCGGCGTGCTAATAAAAACACCGTACCTAGGTCGCGTTACCATCGACGGAACAATCCCGTCGCCGGCGGTTTCTGTCCCTTTTCAACTCCCCTCGATCAAATATCCGAAACCATAAACCAAAAATAAATCAAGATTAGAATCGCATTCTATGAGGAAAATTAGATCTAAGCCTGCATGTTTAGGAGAAGCTCACTGAAGAGAGATTGAGAGTAGTAGGAGGTAGATCGACAAGCCCCCCACCTCGGTTTGGGTCGATTTCTCCGGAAATGAAAAAGAAAACGAAAAGAAACTTAGTAGAATCCAATTGAAAATCAGAAAATCCCTCTATAATATATAGCCATTCTTCAGTAGATTTCGAGCATTTCAAATTCCTTGCACTCTCCTTAATTGTAGCTAAGGGTAAATTTGTAAGTTCAACTTAGAAATTAAATATCTTCTTACGAGAAAAAAATGTCGTTACAAAGACTTGAACTCAAGTCCTTCAGATTGATAGTCAATATCCTTAACCAACTGGACTACAACAATGTTTATGTATTTTTTGAATTAAAGAAAGAAAATACTGAAATATATCAAAATCATAGGACTATCCACCTCAACAATTAATCATCGAATGAATTAATAACTGTAATTATTTACAAAGTGAATCATCATGATATACCTAGCTTTATGAATCAACTAAGTGAGTTCCTCTGATCACACAATTCTTCACCAAGAATCAAATAGTACATTTTGAGTCTATGTAGGTTACATGACTTTGTAGTTTGTAGGAATACAAGGATTGTTTACAAAAGCGCTATACAAAATTTTATTTCAAAACATAAAATTTGACATTTTTTATCTATGGTTTTGTAACGAGACATTTTTAATGCTATAAGTGAATAACCAAAAATCATTGGCTAACAATTTTTCTAATGGTTGACAATTATAAGCATAGAATTGAAAGACTAAATACCATTGACAAATGAGCCAATTATCATTGGCTAAATTTAACAAACAATGGTATGTGTATATACATTGGAAATTCTATGGTACGCTCGATGGATTAAGGGTTATTGCATCTCCTTAGTTAAATAACATTATCTAGACCATAGATTAATCACGTAACTAAACCCTATATCATACTTCTCTAAATCCTATTATAGTGCATATGGTATGTTGTATACATCTTGGCGAATCAGGATCATTGATTATGTTCTTAGTATATGTGATATTAGGGTTTAAGTTTTATAGATTTTGGGTATATGATTTAATTATTTGAAACTTAATCTCCCTTTTCAAATTTCCTACAATGAGAGGGAAATTAGAAAGGACATTTTTGTCTTCACAATTATCTGTGTTTTTTATTTATTTACAGAAAAAGATAGACATATTGAGATTTGAACCATGGTCACTTCAAACAAAGTGAAGGTTTAAAATCAATCTGACTATATAGATTTGTTGTATTTTTTTAAATTAAAAATATATACGAAGCTAAAATATGAAATCACAACTTTTCAACAGTTAGCTAGCCCAATAAATATTCTGTAAGTACTTATTTGGTGTTTTGATACTTCGATTTTGATATTTTTTATTTTAATTATAGTTTAGTACTTAATTTAAAATTTTATCTATCTTATAAATTGACGACAACCATAAATTTGCAACAAAAATATTGTTCGTTCGAATATTTCATATCGACT